TCAGCAACCTAGTCAGTCCGTCTGCACCTTCTGGTCATACTTCCAGCTCGCTCTACTAATTATCACCGCCGAGCATCGACTTTGAATAGGTGCAGAGCTTGCTATCTCGGCCTAAATCATCCTCCGGACGGAACCTGAACATGTCAATGCTCTGATTCCGTCGCAAAGAGCGAACATCAGACGATTACCGAATCCAGGACGGAGCCCGATGCGGGCACCTATACCTCGTCCCTAGCACAGAAACTCGTGTGTGCTTTCGTGAGCACACTACCTGTTGTCCAGGGTCTACTTTTGATCACGTTAACCTTCCAGCCGGAGTGAATCTGTGCATCGGCGCAAAGCATGTGTTGCATGGACGAACTCCCATAGTATTGGTTGCTTAGTCTGCGATCCCGAATCATTAGGAGACGAGCCAGTTGGGAGGAACAAAAAGCTTGGATACCAACTTCACATTATAGCAATACTCCGAGATATGATACCTAGGAGGAATACAATAACATGCTATCTCTTTTCTGTTCTGAGTTCACAGCCTTGATGTTGACTAACGTCGCCGCAGTGTCCAGACACTGTGCACTGATGCTGCTTCGCCAGAAGATGAAATTGCTGCCATTCACACACCGTGAAACGTACTTTTGTCGGGGGAAAATTACTAGCGAGAGCATTCGTGGGCCGCAACACCTGGTTTGAAGCGCATGCTGTCGGCTCTCCTAGCTATCGTGGAAGCCTGATCGAGCTGAGCGAGCTTCGCGCTGTATGTCAACGTGACCGGCTCACCGGATGTATGCACAAGTAACGAGGACTGGTGTACTCCCCAAGTATGAGCTTCAAGTATAATAAACGCCTCGTAGACTCGCGAACCGTGCGATTCTGATCTCACGATGTCGATAGGTATCCTCCTGATAATTACTCCTTACGAGTACTGGCGTCCCCCCGGTATTGAGGTAAGCGACCAGCTTGATAATCCGCATGGATATGACCAGCATTCTTGGCTATTATGGACCCGAAAGCTTCGCTTCCCAAAATCCTGGTGCCTGAAACCGATATCACCCCACCAGGCGTGCGATAAGCTTCATCCTAATGCTTTCGGACCTTCCTGACAGTAAGTGATCAGGCAGCACCATTCTGAGTAGTATCGCAACAACATGACGAAGAACACTATATCTCGTCGCAATCAGGATGTCTCTGACTACCTCAGACAGACTTCAATTAGCGACGCGCAACAGACGCCGACTACAGAGGAAGCTGGATCGAAAACACCAGCAGACCCGGCACTGCTCGCTCAACAATTGGCATCAGAATCGTCTTGGGCAGAACGATACGTGCCAACAACACCAGGCGAGTCCGTCATGACGCCGAGCGCTTCTTCTGTCGCTGGTAACAGCGAGGCACCGCCTAGCAGGATTGGGGTAGGTGAGAATGACTATATTACACCGGACGATGCGCCTCCAACATATGAGCTAGCTACAAGCGAGTCGGGTGTGCGAAGCCCGACTGGTGGCCCTCAAGCATCTGCGTGGCAATCCCGTGGACCGACGCAACAATCATCGCAGCCACGACCTCACGAGCTGCTTGATACCTCTTCGCAACCACAGTCAAACCAGTCAGGTCCCACACAACCAATGGAGCAGCGACCATTCATTCCTCATCGACGATATTCTAGACATGAAACATCAAGTTCTATCACCGGCCCATTCACTTTGCACGATAGTCTCGACCTAAGCACGACTTCTGGGAGTATTTCCATCAACCTCGACGTTAAGCCAGGTCCCAACCCAGCTATCCTCAAGCTGAAATCCAACAGCGGAAGCATTCATGTGGACGACAAGCAATGCGACAATGCACGTTCGCGCCGCAATTTGCGGACTAGCAACAGGCAGGAGCGTGGACCGGGGCTTCTATCCTCCATCTTTGGGTGGAGGGCACGTCCGGCCGAGGTAGAAGCACCTCCAATGCCAGATACTGATGATCCGAGGAAGCAAGCTGGTCAAGCACCTCATGAGCAGCAAGTCCAGCAATTGTCCGCCGCGGAAGACGCCGAGGAACAATTCACGGCTAGGGTCATCCACGCCACAATTGAGACATCAAGTGGAAGTGTCATGGCACATCTCGTACTAACAGCCGGATCCGACACCAGGATCAACACCTCGTCAGGCAGCATCAATCTCCGCCTTGTGACCTCTGGTTCCGGTGCTGGAGGTCGGCAGATGTCCAAGCTCGAAATGGAAGATTCGCGTAACGCTCAGCTTGCGAGCACAAGAGATCTCAGCAGTAGTATCAGTACACAGTCCGGGTCAGGCTCGACAAATATCAATATCAGCACTGGTTTTACTGATACCTCAAACGGCGCTATCGTAAGCGCGTGTCGCGCCTCCCACAGGGTCATAAACTCTGGAAGTGTGAACGCTCACTATCCGAGAGAGTGGATGGGGCTTGTCCATGCCAGTTGTGGCGGTGGTGGTAGTGCAAGAGTCTCAGGCTTTGGCCTGGAATATGACAAGAGAGGCAATTATGAGGTGTACGCTTGGAGAGGAGTTGATGATCCAGATTTGAACAAGGCGGTCGAGGTCCGTTGTGACGGCGGTGGTAGTGTTGGCTTTTATTGCTAAGGTGACGCGACCGTCCTGGCATGAACAGAGTCCAGCTGCAGGGCTTTCGCCTGGAACAGCAGTTTTGAGGGCATACGCACATAGCAGGGTTGTGCTGTTGTTCTGTATAGTCGTAATGAGATCTTTTGTCGACCTTTGCTTGTTTCATGTAGCTGTTTGAGCCACCAGCGACCTCGCGGAATACAACCAGACACGAGTCCCCGTTGATCCATGTCTCGGTTCCGCTCAATCAATCTCCTTGCCGTGCGTACCGTCCTCTGTGACATGAAGAAGCACGACAATCAACCATGCCCTGCTCATTTTCTGCCGTCTTTCGCATCTTTCCTCGCCAATATCGAAGCAATGACCTCCTCGATCTCTTCATCTGCCTCCTGCTCTGTTTTTCCCTTTCCGTCAACACCCAGACCTCCTCTTATCATCTTCCGCGCATCGGCCAGGCTGTTCAGATCCATGTACCACAACGTTCCTCCGGTTGCCATCATCGCAACACTCAAGACGTTGATCGTTGCAATGTTCAGTGCCTCGACAGCCTCGAATGCGCCGTTGACGTTTTTCGACTGTTCAACATTGTGCGCAGGCGCATCACTGTAAAATGCAGCTTTCGATGCTAACCTCCGCCTGTTGAGTGATCGTCTTGTGGCTATCACCGAGAGGCCAAAGAATGCGACACCAGCTGCGAAGATGAGTTTATTGCGCCTGCGGCCTTGTTCTTGGATTTTCGCATATTCTGATGCTGAGACCGTGTCGTCAGAAGTGATTGGTTCCACGGCTTTCGTGGATGGTGATGGCTCTTCAAGGAGACGCTTTTCATGTGGTCGGATCGAGTCCGCTGGAGGTGGGAATCTCAAGCCTGAAAATAAGGAAATGAACCAAGACATTGTACAAGATTTGAAGAAAACGAAAGGACAGACGCTACAACGCTCGAATCAATTTAGTTATATATGCAGCCGAAGGAAACAGCTACTTTGCGCTGAAAGATGCATCCGTGGAAAGTCCTCCGGTTCTTATCAGCACGTGCCGATAAGTGGGACGCGTCGCGTGTCGAATCTAAGCGCCCCGGAGTATCGCCCCCGAAGCCCTCTTCTGGCGGAGAACCGACTCTGCCGGAACAGACTAGTGTGTCAGACATAAGACTGAACAACACAAGAGCTTTTCGTCAGTGAGGAGTCTCCCTCCGTGTTGGTCTTGGTAATGATTCGGGTTCTGCACTTTAGGAGAGGGTGGGGCGCTCCTGAGTACAGCTCGGGGAGCTAATCAACCAGCTTGATTTTCTGCTCGAAGGCGCTCCTCAGCCTCTGAGCCGGCTTCCTATCCTCGGCTTACGATTGACTCGTGTCACCATGGCCTGGTTCATCAAGACGGGGGCAAGGATATGCAACCAATGCTAGCATCCTGGCACGCTCCTCGCACTCCTCGCATAGCACTGTTGTTCCTTCTGCTCAACCATCGGCTTTGAGGCAGCTATACCTTGCTCGGTTCATCACTCCACTATACGACTTGTCCGCTTTACGCAGCTCACACCCTCTGCTCGTATAGCAAAACCGGTTCACATGACCTGGCATTGCACTATACCATACGGTATAAGTCTCATATCTAGCTGTAAGTCGATATACCCAGCTATTTATCCTCGCGTGCAGTACCTGCAGCATGACGACCGCCTCGATAAACGTCATACGGGGCACTTGATGCTGTCCAGCAGTCGTTTCTCGAGGCTCATACCTTCTGCATGGCGAACTCACAGATGAATGTGCATTCGGCATCCTTCAGCTCCCTGGAGTTCGATGAATTCGATCTCTTCGACGGCATCCGACGCCAGAGAATGCGACAAGCACTTGGCGTGTTCGTATATCCGGGAGGACCCCCAGATCGCTTCATATCCTCAGCCAGCGACAACATCTGAATCTTGACTGCCAGCTGAGCAGCAGTCCCCCAGTTTCGACTTGCTTTCCTCCACGCATTTCTACCACAAAGCATCTGTCGAGATCCTGCGGACTGGGCTCCGTCTCTTGCCCGACCCTGCAATGGTCACACAGCATATCTGCCATCCTCAAGCCTCAAATCGCACCGGAGAGAGTGATTGTGAGAACCGGTTCCCCATATCCTGGACTGCAGTGCAATGTGTCATTTGCCGAACGTGTATCGCATTCGATTATCGGTAGCAAGTGTTGTATCTTGGTCCACGCTTGTGGGATCACGGCCAGAATCGGCATTGGCGAATTGACTAGGATCTTGCCAAGGATGACGTTGGTTATGTGCGATACTGTTTGAAATTAGTGCTCAAATCCGCACACAGATTTATCAGATACTGGTCAGCCCTAATACGGCTTTCCAAGAGTGTCCCCGCTCTGCTGGCGTAGGTACTATCTCTGCTATCCTTTAGGTAGATTCTAATCGACTCTGCAGGCAATGGTAGCGCGCCAGACTTCTAAACGAAGTCACATCTGGAGGCTGTGGGTTCGAGTCCCACGCAGAGTGCTCCTCAATTTTTGCTCCAACCCACGAGCACGATTCATTTTTACCGTTTTTAAGGGCTTGCCTATGACCCTTTTGTGGCCAGCGTCAGCAGCACTGTCAAGGAAATCATAGCAGCCTATCAATGGCTACATGGTAGAGCTATGAGCCTAGCTGTTGAGACCCATTACAGGCAGGTAGTACAAGGTCCGGCCTAGTACAACAACTTGGAAAAGGGGTCATTATCGGACATGCAGGGTAACGATGAGATACAGGACACAAAATGTGTCTGTAGAAGAAGGCTTCTGATGAATCGTATGCAACATCAGTAGGTATCTATGGGTCGACTCTGAGCATTGTCCGTGCATTGTTCGTCCGGTGTTCCAAGATAGTTCATTACATCCCCTCTTCATTCAAACCCGGTATCTCCCTCCTCCAGACCTTCATCGGCATAGGGCCAACATGCATGTTCATAGTCTCCAGTCTCGTAACCTCAAACCCCGGACTCGGTAACGCGAACTCATACCGGTGCACCAGACTGGCAATAAGTACAGTCTGCTCGAGATAGGAGATATTCCGTCCGATACATCCCCTGGCACCAGCACTGAAAGCCAGGAAATACGGCTGCAGTTTCTTGCCAGCTTCGCCTAACCATCGCTCCGGGATGTACTTCCGGGGCTCAGGGAAGATATTGAGGTCGTTGTGTACCACTAGCGCAGACATGCTGACAGAGACGCCACCGGCGATAAATTGGTCCATAAGCTGCAGTCCTTCCGGAGGTGTGACACGGCCGAGGTTCTGCGTAGTTGGTGAAACGATCCGTAGAGACTCGTCGAGGCATGCTCGGAGGTATGGTAGATTCTTGACGCTGTCATACGGTGCAATGACCTCTTCCGGGTCAAGAGCCCGATCAACTTCGTCACGTAATTTGGCGAGGATGTCTGGGTGCTTCAGGAGATGGAGCATCACGTTTGCGATGGCGATGGCGGTAGTCGTGCTGCCAGCATTGAGCATGATGTTCATTTCCGCATCGATTTCGCCCAATTCGAGGTTGTTCGGTCGTCCGGCCTTGTCTTCCATGAGGGCTTGGAAGAAGTCGTCGTACTTCTCACCGCGTTGGTAGGCTTCAAGCCGCTTTTGTGTCCGTCTCAGGTGGATTCCGTCCCAGTTCTTAGCGGCTTTGGCGCCACGTCTGTAGATGCCTCCAGTATATGATGAGAGCTTATCCAGGATTTTAAAGTAGTCGTAAGAATGTACGATGAGAGAAGTCTTTTGGTTCGTGGTGTAGAGGCTGCCCCGGAATGGGGCTGTAAAAGTGGTACCGTCGGTGTTGACGGCGTCGCACATGTCGTCTCCTCGGTCCAGGAACCCAAGCTTTTCTGACATACCAATGTCTGCAATTGCTTCTATTGTGAAGAAGTTGGTCCACATTCGATAGTCAACTGTTAGATCCCGAGGATCGGGCAGCCTCTGGTCTTTCGGAAGTGGTGCAGTGCAGCGTTTGTCGAATTGAGCAATGAGTCGCTCCACCTTGTCTGCCACCTTATACTCCCATTCCTCCAGGTTCTTGATTGCATAAGCGGATGCCATGATCTTCCGCTTTTGTGCATGATGAGGCTTATCAACCACGTCAGCGAGATGGAAGTGGGTGGCTGCTTGAATAAGGTATGAAGGGTCTTTGTTGCACTTCGTGCCATGGCCGTAAATGTATTTGATAGCCTCAGGATCGGAGTACGACAGGTGATTTGGGCCTATCCGGAGTACTCCTTTGCCTGTTTCTCTGTGACGCTTGAGCACATATTCCGATCTCTGGCCGCTATGAGCGACCATGATGAACGGTATATTGGTCAGTCCTGAGAAGAGTGACATATTTGTAAACCTCCTCAATTGCTTAGGGTCGCGAAAATAGCTGAAGAGTCGCCACGATAGGGACGCGAAAACAGTGACCGCTGCCACAGAGGCCCATAACATCCATAGGGACAACATGACGCCGATATTGATGAAGTCGAAGACGAGACCAGAACCGGAGTGTGGTAACCGGGAGCGACAAGGCTAGAATGTTGAGACTTTCGTGAAGCCATGACCTGAAGTCGTTATATCCATGCTGCAGTGGTAGAGTCTTAGCATTTGTCCAGGGTAGGAGCACCACTGGCAGTTCCGCAACACTCTGTATCATACCCGACTAGATCGGGCTTTCATGCTTGCAAAACGGTCCGCATGCATGCCCAGATCTGCAAAGAAACTTTTGCACTTCATTCGCCGGTAATTCGCTGCGTGTCTAGAAAAGGAAGAAACTATGCGAGCATGTCTGAGAATTGTTGCCAAGCCCGTAGCCATTCTTGTTCTGGAAAGCAACTCGGAAAGCTAACTTCCCGTCAGCTGGAGAAGCACATAGCCCTGGGCCCGACCAGGCATTCTTTCTCCGAATCTTTCATCTTTGCGTCTCGTCGATGCAGCATTTCGCCGCGAACACGGACATAGCCGCATGCTTGTCAGCTGTCTCGATTCACTATTCGCTAGGAGAGCACTCTCAACAAAGCGTCATCTGAACTGCTGGAGCACGTGTGGCCTGGTAGATCTGCTGTACGAGGCCGTGTAGCAATTGAAAACGTGGGTAGCGAGAGGGTCGGGAAAGAGCATCATATGAATGTTGAGCCTTGTGTGCACACCGTGAATGCATTGCGGTCTGAAGAGTCTTGCTGATAGAACACATGCCGAAGCTGTAATATACGAGAGGTGGCCATGTGTCGGCACCGATTCGAATGGATATGGGAACCTATCAGTCACAAACCTCGTAGAAAACATATAGTGACCGAGCTGAGCTATCAGTGCTGCCATGAAAATGGGTCGCTTGCACGTAACACTATGCCAAGGCCTGACAAGAACATAATGAGGTCAAGATGCAGATGCAAGACGTGCTATCAGTATAAGAGGAGGAAGAAGAGTTACTATACCGTGCCCAGAGACACAAAGCACCCTCGTAGAGCATACGGCGAAACTGGGCCGTCAGGTATCCAGCACCCATTTGATGTCGGGGTGTGCGCAACAGAACGACGAAGCGCTGAGCAATGGTGTTCTTTGAGGATGCAGGTACCGACAATAGCACGAGGATGAACCTCGAGGCCAGGCCATTTGTCGGCCTAGAACCGACGCTTGAAGGGGACATCGACTTGATGGAGTAGCCGTATATCAAGCATCTTCACTAGATTCTGCAGACCTGTACATACCCTTACCGTTCTGCGTTGAGGTTCTCCTTGGGCTATACCACGCCTGTACAAGTACAAGATACACAGGGCTCCTTCAGGGAGATACTCAGGAGCTAGCCGTTCACCTCACAGGAGTAGGAGCACATCTCGAAAGATGCTCGCGACACTGCTTGTATGAACCGAAATGTTCCCTGCTCATCTTTCTCGTAGCTTCAAGCTCCGTTTTGTGTAGAATGTTGGAACGAGAACAGCGCCAGGCTTTTCTAGGACTAGAGGGGACTGGAGGGATCTGACCGCTTCAAATCGTCCATCTATCGTGATATTCATTATTGGTGCACGGTCTTGGCATAAGATAAAATATGGGAAAGTCCTGCGAAGACCTAGAGAACATGTACTGGCCAATAAGAAGATACGGATTGATTCCCCGACAAGGCTAGCTAGTAGCCTACCACTTAACGCGTCGTCTAACGCGTTATCTGACATGCTGTAGTACGGTATATCCTTTAACTTGAACCATCAGCAATTGTTCGCAAGACTTTCCCATAATTTTATCTTATGCCAAGACCGTGCACCAATAATGAATATCACGATAAATGCTCGTTTCAGGTTTTAGGTTTGCTGTGGAGCTCATAGCAGATTGAGAGGCTCTTGTATCAAGCATTCGACCGAGTCGAGCTTCGAGGCTTTCGCAATTGGAAACGGAATAATTGCGAAGGAACCGGAGGCAGTTTCGTCCACGAAGTACGGGATCATCAACCCGATTCTGCGCATGCTCAGAGGTCAGGTTGGGGCATGCAGCGCTTGCGTCTCGTTATCGACGACTAGAAAAGTTATCGAAAGCCATAAGTAGTCGAGATATCTAGGAGTGGAACAGAGTGAAATGCAGCTTGGTACGCTTGAACCCGACTACTGACTCAGCAGAAGATCCACACCAGCGATTTGACTCCTTCAGCGTACGGAGCATAGTAGATGATTTATATCACTGCATGAACATCCTACAACGCAACGCTCCTCTAAAGCGTGCTCGCCATTTCTGATGTTAGAAGTCTTACTGATGCTAGCGAGAAAGAAAGATCTATTCGTGTCTATGCCATTGCCAGAAATCAAATGCTTCTGAGCCCTAGCCCCAGACATCCTCCTGCCACCTCCTGCCCCGCTTCATGCTATCCATCCAGGCTTTAGCGTCGGCATCATTGATCCGCTGGTACTCCTTTACTGCGTTGACAACTGCTCGTCCGGCAGTTTTGGCCATGATCGTACTTCCACAGAAGTAAAGATTGCCTTCCTGCTCGCAGAGCATCCTCACGACGCGTTCCTTGACGTCCTGCTCCGCGAGTCTATCCTGAACGAAGCACTTCTTCTGACCCGGGACACGTGAGAAGGCGGATACAACCTCGAGCTTGGTTTTCAGCGGCCCATTCTGTAGCTCTTCGATTTCGGTGTTGTACAGGTAGTCTTGATCGGGACTTCGGCAACCGAAAAGTAGTAGAACTGGGCCGATCTCCTTATTGCTGATCTGAGTCATCTGAGCACGTTCTTGCAAAAAGCCACGGAAAGGCGCGATACCGGTGCCAGCTGCAACAAGGACAATGGGAGTCTTATGCAGAAAGGGCATCTTGAACGTTGAACGACGAATGTGTGAGTAGATAGATGGGGTCTCATTGGTATCAAGCGAAGAGAGATACGAGGTAGATAGGCCTGCAATGCATATTGCCGGATTTGTGAGGAGCTCGCTTGTTGATATTGCGACCGTGATAGACATCTGGCGGGGAGACGTCATCGAGGAGCTAGAGATTGAGTAGTACCTAGGTGCCATCG